TTACTTAATGTGGAGACTGAGAAGGGGTCAGTCACTTGGCAGAAGTTGTGCTCATCTTGTCTTCTTTGACAAGGTTCTCAGCCTCATGTACTCTTGCCACAAACCAGTGAGGGGGAAATTCCTTCTTTGTGATCAGACAATTTGTGGCTGCCCTTTACCAGACCTCGGGGAGGAACGTATGCAGTGGTTTTTCCAAATATTATAACCAAATTTATTCTGTGAGACCAGTTTATTTTGAATTGCAGTTGGATCATTTTATGGAATTGTTTTGCTTTCAAAGCTTTCATTCTCCAACGTGGTTAGAAAGGGGGCTATTTTACTTTCCTTTTATTGCTTTTATTTTTAAGGTGAGGGTGGTAGTGAGAGAGAAAAACAGGAGGATGTGGGTTTTGACAAGAAGTGAGAGGGTAGGTTGTTTGAGATTTTGTTTTACTCCACGACTAATCAGTGTAACACTTGACAAGATAAAATTTCTTCTCTGTGCATCTTGTGAGTTTTCCCTAGAATTCAGTTTGGCTTTAAAAGTTGGCTAAAGTTTCCATGGAGTAGGTAGGGTGTTGAAGGAGATGCCAGTAAATTAACATTGTCAGCAAACTCATAAAACCTTTAAAAGAAAAGCCTTTGAGGGCAAAGAAATTTTTTTTCATCTTTTCTTCTCTCTCCCTCCCTTCCTCCCATCTTTCCATTTTTCTGTTTTTCTTTCTTTATTTCTTTTTTCAGAAAAGGTTACATTTTTTGTTTTTCCTGTGCACAACAGGATGGCAAACACTAGGGGATATTGTTTCTGGAAAATTAATAATGTTCTGGCAAAGAGCAAGTGAAGGGGAATTGACAGGAATTGTGGGGCTGGGTGATGCAGAGACAAGCAAGGGGAACACCAAGCAATACACATTTGTCTTGTATGCTCGAAGAAGTACATGAGTGAGTATGCATGTGAGGCAGGGTGGTGAACAAGAGAGCAATTTTGTAAAGGAACTGATCAGAATGTGGACTCTGAGTGGGGCCTGGGCAGTCCTTCAACCACCCAACAGGCAGACATCCATCTCTGCTGACATGATGCATGGTCTGTGTTTGTCCTGGGTTTGCCCAGCCCCACAGCCCTGGAGGACCTGGCTCCCTGGTGCAGCTTCAGGGAAGCCAGCAGTTTGCAGGCTTCTCTTGGAGCCATGACTATGATGGCTTTCAGAAATGGTTTGCATGGTGGTCACTGCTGGTGGTGCCATTGGGTACCTCCATACCCGGGATTTCCAAGTCAAGTGGGAAGAAACCAGAGGAAGATTCCAGCTGACTGTTTATACTCTCCCGCCAGCAAGTGCAGGGTGCGGTTTGGAGTGGAGAATGTTGCTCAGGACGAGTGCAAGCCCAAAAAGCCACATTTATTCCATGGCTCAAGCCTGTATCCACAGTCTCGGGAGATTATATTACTCATAGAAAAACTTATTAAAATCTCCCATGCATCATAAGATATGCCACCCAACAGGAGATGGTGATTTTGTTTCAGTCTTTGCAGCATCTGTGTTGTAGAGAAGAGGCATCCCAAAACAACTGGATTGTTACGCTCCCAGCAAGACATTCTGATTTTCTACTGTTTACAGGATACTACAAGAGACCTCCAGAGAGGTCTGCAGCCTCAGTAATTCTGTGGAAACATCCTTCTTAGCAAGTACAGTCTAAACCAGAATTAATGCCAAGGTGGTTTTGGTGGTACTGTGTAACTAAGAGGTCTGATGGTCCTTGAAAGACAAGACACTTCCATTTTTCTAACTAGAGCTGCAACTTCATTCCGGCTGAGCTGTGTGCATTCCATTATAAACAACACCATGTGCCCTTTGAGCTCTCTGCTGCACTCATTTGATGGATTATATCCTTTTATTTCTTCCTAAAATGCTTCCTGGGTTTGCCGCATACTGCAAACATATTGCATTGACCTCTAACACAACCAGCTCCTAGCTACATAGAGATAGTGATGCAGAGACCCCTGCTCATCGGTGTATCTGCTCCCACTGATGTCACATCAATTTGGCTCAATTTTGCCTGATGGGACTTTTGGCCTGTAAATATTTCAGGACTCTTCCCAAGTCACAGGTTCATAAGAACCATTCCCAATACCCCTGGAAGCGTGCTGAGGGTGGTATAGAGTCACAGAACCAGCTTGACAGCCTAGTATCAAAAACAAGAGCAAACCTGGAAAAATATTACAAAACTCTTCCACTGGCACCAGCAGGTCAGTGTCATTACAGGCAGTGGTGTTGTTCTCAGATACTATTTCATTGGCTTCCTTGTCCTTTTTCCTCTCCCTCTTCTGAAGCACATTTTCTTTCCCTTGTATTGCATGGTAGGGTTGTATCCCTGGAGATTCAAAGTGATGAGGAGGAGTAGGCAGAGATCAAAAGCACTTCTAGCTTTGAAAAGATTATTCCTGGCTGCAAATCAAGTACGGCAAGCTCCAATCCATCCATCTTATTCAAACTGTGTTTCAAAACTGGTCACCCAACCCTTTTGGATTCTGCTTTCCTTTCAGCTTTATATGGCACACAGAATTCTTTGATTTTACCTTTTAAAGCATGGCACTGAATTATTTTCTAGCACAACTGACTGCTCATATTTTTCAAACCTGAGGCTACAGGCTTCTTTGGTGTTTTTAGTCCTGTTAAATGTTGTTCAGAGCCAAAATCTCATAGTTTCTTCACAAAACAACTGTGCAGATTTTACCTTGTCTTATTGACCTTTCCAGAGAAATAAAGCAAAAGAATTTCACTGTGTTACTTTGGAACATTCTCCTCTAGCACTCTAAAGTACCAAACCAACAACAAAAGAGCCAATGATAATTGCAAGAAGTTTGCAAAAAAATTGGTATGTTCCTTTTAAGAGAATGTCAAGATCTAACATATTTGGCTGAAAGAAAATGTAATTTTAACATGTGGGTGAAGATACTAGTATTAATAGCAGAAGATGTATGCATTGAATATCCTTCTAGTATGTATAAAATATACTGCATTTTCAAACAACTTTGACATTGGCAGGATGCATATTATACAGGAAGAGATCATTAGACTTAATCTGGGTGGACAAATCTTGTCCATCTCTGAATCACAAGCTCTGACATTCATAAAAAGGCTCCAGTGTTTCAAAGTATGTTCACTGGCTGTAAGCTATGAGTTTCTGAAATCACAACTTGGGATTTTTGTGTATTAGAAGTATTCTTATCTCCAGATATCCCAAAGTCTTCTTGTCCATAGCTGACTGCTGTGGATGATTAAAATACAGTTTTATCTGTGTATCACAGTGCATAAACAAGTGCTAGTGGAAGATAACAAGTAAACAAGTGCTAATGGAAAATTTTGCTATTTTATCCTGAAGATGTGTCTTAATGTCACATCTGCAGGATAAAATAGCAAAATGCATCCTGCAAACTAGTCCAGACAGACAGGTCACAGTCTGACCATGCACTGGTGTACTTGGAAAATGAATGATTATCCAACATTGCCTAGTTTTTGGAAAACAACCAGAAAAAACTAAATTGCTCAAGAAAACAACTCCTCTCTCAAATTCAAAATGTTCTGAATGGATTAGGAAGGAACAACATCAGTGAAATCAGTCATTTTATTTCTCTCATATGCCTTGGAAATTAGTAGGTCATGAATAACACTTTGAGGATATTAGGGATGAGGCGTGTGCATGTATCTTGGTATGAAAGTTAAAGAAACTCTAGAGAATACAAAGAAAATTTTCAATGGTAAAGATAAGTCCATCTAATGTGGCTTGTCCAGAAAGATTAGTGTATTGGAAAAGAGGGGTGTCTGTGGACATGGGCCAAGCAAACATGCTCATTTTAATCAGAGAATTAAGAAGGCCATTCACTGTCTACAGCTTTTCTTACATGAGATAAATCCAACATGTCATATTCCTCCATTGCCAGAGGTTACTGTCAGGATATATATGCAAACATTAAGCTAAGAAAAGAAGACAGACAAACGAATATTGTCTAGATAATTGCCACTGAAATTGCTGATTTATTGGCTTTCATCAACCCAAAAGAAATCAAAACAGAGAAAAAATAGTAATTTCTATGAGACATTTGCATTGCTAGCATCAGATAAAAATTAATGTCATTAACGGTTCAGTTTGGCTTGATTTATGACTGCAGTCCAGTGTGTCAGTGGCCACATGAATTCTGTTACAGAAGAACCTGACTTGGTGTCATTTCAGACTTTTTTTTCATCTAGAAAAAAGTAAAAAGAACATATAAGTAAGTATTAGTTGTACTAGACAACTTTGCAAGATTTGTCTCAGCCTGTTACCAGTAGTCCAATCAATATAGTGGCAACCAAACTTTCAATGAATGCCTTTGAAATAATTTTTTCCCAAGAGGATTATCTGCAATAGAAGCCAAATACAATTTCTTTGAAATGGTTCTGTACTGTGAAGCATCTCACACAGCCCTGGTCAGTACCAGGCAGTTCTTAGCTCTAAAGTATCTGAATCTAGGTCAGACCATTGGAGTTATCTGATCTGACTGGTTTATGAATACTAGGCACAGTTTTTCTCCTGGTCACCACCTAATAAAATCCATTAACAATTCTCAGTGAAATTGTGCTTTCTAGAGAAATGCTCAGGTCTTATTTGGAGAAGAAAAGTCATGGGAACATGAGAACAAGAGAAGAAGGCATGTTCTTTGTTTCTACAAGCAGATTACTCTAATTAGCTGATTCTTATCCCTTCCCAGTTAAATAATGTGCCAAGTTTTAAGTCAACTCCAAGCTACTGGTTCTTTTTCTGCATTTCTCTGCTGCATTAAGGATGTCTTTAGTAACTGCTATTTTTTCCTTGGGAAGGTAATTATAGAGTGATCAAGTCACCTCTTGTCTCCCCAGTTGCTTTTATGATTTGTTAAACAGATTGACTTCTTTAACTCTCCCATGGTGAGAGGATTTCTACAGACCCAAAACAACCATGTGGTTCTGTTATGCTAAATATTGTGGTTTTGTATCCTTTTTTAGGTGTGGATTCAGAACAGGATGCAACCAGCTGGCATCAATAAATGTCATCTACAGAGGTAATAATGTCATCTGTTAGGTTATTATTTCTATTTCAACATATCCTATGAATTCATCAGCCTCATTTAGTATGTATTCATAACCAGAATGAATGGCCTTTTTGCTAAACTCTATCTTAAGACATCTGTGGTGAGGATCTGTCCTTCTGTAGGTATGAGGAACTGCCATTCTCTTAGAAAGTTTTAATGAAATATTTCATTTGAACTTACCAGTTGAATGTTTTGATTATAGATCATTGCTCCAGCAATGCTTGTTTCACAGAGTAACTTTTATCAGCAGGGATTTTGTACCCATTACTAAATTTGTGAGGAAAGTGCGGATCCAAAATGACCCTCATCATAGAACAGCAGCACTAAAAATACAGTCATTCAGGCTTTTCCTCTTATTGAAAGTTTGAGATGTCTGTCAGTTTTTAATTAATTCCTGCTTTATATAATGTTCAGTGATCATTTGCTTTAAATCAAAATATAGGGCCCTAGCAATTTCAGTGAAACTAATGATAGTAATCCAAACATACAACATTTCTAATGATCTTTTTAATGAGCAATGTTTACTTAATGTTGCAAAGCAGTAACTGTATAGTGATTGCTGTTTTTGGAAGCCATACTAACTTAGAAGCCCAGGTAAATTTTTGAATCATTTCTGTGCCCTCAGTGGAAACATGGCTCCTTTCTTAGGATGGAGAAGCGTGTTGCATCAATACCTATATTTTGGAGGAACCACAGCCTAGCCTCCATGACCATACCTGGCTCTTAGTTGTGTTAAATACCAAATCATAAATCTTTGCCACCATGTTCTAAAAAAGGGTGTAGGATGGCAATGAGAGGTTAGGTGGGTGGGAATATTAATATTTTTCTGCTAGCGTTACTTAACTTGTGCCTTAGAATCAGACTTGAACAATAGCTTACCTTACAGAATGGCATCAAATTTGTTTGACAAGACCTATTGTCTGAAGTGCATCCAAGGTTTGCTTTCATGATATTTCTTCCACATTTCTTTAATCAGGCTACTTTTTATATAACATCTCTTTATTTGTTTTTCTGATCAATATTTATTTAGTGAGTTAATAGCCATCTAAGGGCAAACAGAAGAGTTGAAACCGGTTCAGGCAGTTCATCACTAGTAGGATCCAAGGAAGAAAGCTATTAGGACAGTGCCTGTACATGAAAAAATGCTAGAGTATTCCAGTTACTCTATGAAAGGTCACCATATCTCCACTGGGAATGAAGGATCTACCTTTAAAAAAAGGCTTAGTAAGACAAATAATAGTAATAGCACTATTAGCATTAGAAAGCTCTCAAGCAAATGTTATTCGGAATTTTAAAAATCCTTGTATTTAAAGACTTTGTAGTAGTAGAATTAGACAATGACAAGAATATTTGTGGGAAATAATTCAGAGGAAATTGAACGAAGTCACTTCTGGATGCATGGCTTCATAAAGTGATTGCAAAGCCTGAGGAATGAGGATAACTTAGCTTACACACTAAAACAGTAGTGGGAAAAGGGGTGTTTCAGGCTTTTCCCTTCCAGCTTTTAGTCCTGGATGTGCTGCAAGCTGTACCAGTTGCTAGAACAAGAAGCTGCTCAAGGCAATCCATGTCACAGGAAGATGAGAACAACAAAATCTAAAACTCCCTCAGGTAGGAACAGGGAAGACAAAGTCCCCTCCAGATTTTTCTTCATGGTAAGACGTCTCTGCAGAAATAATTAGTTCATGTTGTGGGAGTTAAGTTGATGTTGATCAGTGCTCATTACTCAAGCTGTTGAAAGACCCAAAAGTGAAAATAGACACTGGGGAGGATGAAACTTGTAATGATTTCTAGGAAATTATGAGAAAGAGTAGTCTGATTGCCAGGACAGCCAGACCCAAGGATACTGTCAGGTGAGAATGTAAGGCTTACTGTGTAGAAAATGTAAATTGAGCATACTTCCCTGCAAAGAAGGACGCAGAAGGCAGCTGTAAGTGGTCCAAGGGTGAAAGCTGACACTGTGGCAAGCTTGCTTCCTGCATGTACTGGAGTTCTGCTCCCTGCCTGCTGCTGTCCCACATTCTGCCCATCCTCTGCTCCTTGTGCCATTCTCTAATGATAGACCACCAGCTTCAGATAAGAGGGTGGCTTCCCATTAGAAACCATTATGGGAATGCTGAGTTACTGTTGGATGAAGGATGCAGTGACCGTGTTCTGCTCCATTTCACTCTGGAGTTGAAGGACAGCCTTCTTTCAGTTACTACCCACGGTGGTTTAAGTGCTCGCTGAAGGCCAGTGACTTCTTTAAAGGTAGCAAACTTTCCTAAGTGCCTTACCATCTGTTCAGTGCTTTCGACAATGTGTTTATGTTGTCAGTCACGTGGGGGAAAAAGTCAAAGCACTTCATATTTTTGTTAATGGAATATGTTGAGATGACATTAATCATACAGACAGGGACCTCTATGTATGTAAGTGAATGTACAAGTTAAATACCAGGACTGTTAATGGCCTCTGTTTCTGATCATTGCTGTCATAAGTGATAACAAGCCTGAGGCCAATTAAACCACTTTTCACATTTTTCTCAAAGCAAGAGAGTGCTGGGAAGAGATCCTGCCAGTGGCAAGAGTGCTGAGGTGAGGGGCTTAGCACCACAGTAACGTGATCTCTCTCCTCAGACATGCCTGTGCTCTCTCCACTGCATCCTGCCCAAGCTCCTGTCTGGTGTCTGGACACAGGGTTGGCTTCTCCATAGCAAGGTGAGGACAGAGCAGGCAGGGATTACCAGCTATCAGTAACCTCAGCTACTAATGATGGCATCAAGAGATTATCTAGTTTCCATGTCCCACGTGAACTTTTCCATTTGCAGTGGGAAACCTGAAGCAGAAGCAAAGGCCCTTCTGTTTTGGGGTACACTTGCAGTTGGTCCAGTTATCAAGGAAGCATTTCCTCATGAGATGCTTGTCATGTTCTAAGTCTCTGACTCCAAGTACCACAGGGCATGTGCAACAAATCCAGACTTGTCGTTCTGCACAAGAACTTCTACTCACTGGCCAAATTCTCTCTCTTTCCTCATGAACAATATTGGCAGTGAGAAATAAGAAAAGACGCATCCAAAGAATCTTAAAACAATGGTCAGCCTGAATTTGTAAGGTCCTTGCACGTATCTGGCAGTAAAAGACAAGCTATTTTTGAATCAGCAGGAATTTGATATAAGTGTATCTGTCCTCCAGTGTGGATTGTGTTTGGATGTAGAAAGCATAAAGCATTAGTCACCCAATGCACAATGCCACTCTCTAAAATCTCTGCATATTGTTTTTCTGTCCCATCTTACCTCAAAATTAAAGTATATTGAGATGGTATGTCTGATAGACAGCTCTATGGATCCAGGCACCATTTTACTGTCTTCTCTCCTTGCCCTCTACCTGAGGTAAAGACTGTATCTGCCAGGCAAATGCTGAGCTGGGATGGTAGTGTTTCAGTGGTATGGGGAATGCTGAATTTTTCAGCGAGTTGTGAAAGCTGAAGTCCTCGCCAACTTTCCTTCAAGTTTTTAGACACAGTGTTTTTGTTTGTTTTCTGTTTCAAGTGAGGAAGAGATGAGGCAGAATAGCTGGGGCCTTGACCCCTTTGTAATCCCTGTGGCCAAGCAGGATACCAGGCAAACACAGGAAAATGGTGGTAGTCACTTTCTCATGTCCAGATCCTCGATCTGCATGAGTATTTCCAACTGCAAAATAAAAGTGTAATATAAATCAAACAAAATAAAGCAAAAACAGTAAAAAAGCCCTAAACAACAAGACAGTTAAATAGATTAAAACCATTCAAAATATTTCATTATATTATTATATTGGGCAAAAACAAATACTGTGATTTTTTAATGTGAGATGTGCATAAGGTTTGTTTTACTTGCCTTCCAGGTTCAGAACCTGAGTTTGTTGTTTGAACTAATATAAACTGTTTCTCTTGTGAAGGTTTTACCCCTAGAGATCTTCCAAATCTATTGCAGATTTGAAGAGCCTATTTAACCTTTTCTGACATTTAAAAGAAAACAGAAAGCAAGCCCTGCTAGCTGAAAAGTGAGTTAAAGGAAGCAGTCCAGTTTGTGTCCAACTGGATGAAGAAAGGATAGTCAAATTCCTTCCATTTTACACATAGTTAGTCATGAAATTGTACAAGAAAAAAAAAAAGACAATAAAATAACCATATTGTAACAGCTGAAACAAACCTTGGGTAACTGTCAGCAGTGAAATGTCCAGAGAGCATTTGTACCATTCCATTTCATTAAGCTGAAGGGTGGGATTGCAGACTGTAAAAGATTATAGCAGAGCTCTTTAGAAATTTACAGCTTGCAGCACAGGGAAGCACAAGGGAAGTCTCCCTTTCTTGTGTACTCAGTGGGGAGCCTGGGTTTTGTCTCTTCCATGATGATGTGTAGGGGAAGAAGGTTGCCAGAAGTACCAATGAAAACTGAAATGTGTCTATGTACTCTTTTTTTTTTTTTTTTTTTCCTTTCCTGTGACTTACAAACTGCATTTGCACAGTCGGCTTTTATTCAATTCCCAAGCTCTTGACTCTGTGGCCTGGATTAGGACAAGGAGCGTTATGGGTGGTGTTTAGGGCAATGCTGAAGGCACTGTGGGTATAATGTGTAAGAGGAACAAGCGCAATGAATACCACAGGAGAGGGGACTCTTGCTCATTTCAAGCTGTTTAAGCAGCAGGTACTACTTTGTTTTGTACCCACTGGGCACCTGGCCCCAAGACGATCACTGAACTGCAACAGGAAGCCCAAATTCAATTCTGGCTGAAATAGGAACATATGTCTACTGCAACTGCAGTCTCTTGCTCTGTAACAGAGCAACTACACTGTGAAGAGCAGTTCTTTCTCAGAAATGTCTTTGGTTTCAGTCTTCTCTTTCTTTACATGAGAGAGTCATCTCCTCACATCAGCGGAACTCCTGCTAATGTGCTGTGGAGTAACACAACATTTAGCACTTATCTGTCAGCAGAAAAGACATAGGGCTCACAGGGAAAGGGTGAAAAAGAGAAGTAATTTAGGTGACTAAAGCCCTACATACTTTTACGGGTGACATTCGGCTATATCACCTAACTTCCTCTGGCTTCTTTGTTCCTGCCTATGTTGATTCACCAAACGCTGGACTGTGCTTGTCCTTGTCGGAGAGGAGGATGTATCTACCAACAGCAGAGATGGTGCAAGGCTCCAACAGGAATGGCAATTTTCACCAGACTGATTTTCCAAAGTGAAGAATTTAAAAAATCATAGTAGGAATGATGCAAAATAAAGTGTTGCAATCCAAATGAAACACAACTCAGGTTCATAAAAGAATATTTTTTTCTTTTTATTTATACAAAATAATTCATAGCTTTTTAAGTCTTGGTTCACCATGGCATACAGCTTAGTTTCATTATTTGAGCATTGCCTTGTGGAAGTTTTAATTGGCAACTTTGTTCTTTCTACTATGGACCCATAGTCCTTTGGAGGAGTTGCCTCGCAAGAAATAACACACACTTGGCTTGGCTGGAATTATGTTCTGTGTTTGGTACTCATGTGACTCTAGTGCTGCATGAGAAATGTAATTTGGACAGAAAGGTTTAGTGTGTAGGGAAGCCTGGGAGTTCTGGCCTTTTAACTACAAAGTCAAAATAGAGACCCTCACAAAATGTGAAGTCCAGTATTAATAGAATTTCAGGCAAATGGAGCGTGTGTGTCAAATCTAGCAAATAAAAGGTAGTTCTCATTATAGTTTCTATTCAAGAACAATTGAAGTGTTGGCAATTCTTTACAGAAATTATAAGAATTTTTTTTTTTTTGTGCAGATTTATTATGTTGAAACTACTTGCTTCATCTTAGAATAATAAGTTTTGACACGCTGGAAGTTCCCAAGGAACAGGAATTCCAAATTTCTCACTGCTGCAAGTCCATGTTCATTAATTTTCATGGGTTTTTATGTGCAGGCTCTCCTCTGTGGGTTATAAAGGCTTTAGCAGTAAAGCCAAAACCTTTACTGAGGATTTGTACATGGGTACTTGAAGGATTAATTCTTAAAAGTGGAATTGTGCTCAGTTTGGTTTTATGAGAAAAAAATTTTTTGATATAAATTGCAGAGGTCAAAGGAAATGTTCTTAATTATGCTGAAGTGATCCCACAAAAAGCAATATAAGTGGACAAAAGAACCACCAAACTCTAACGGAACAGAATTTGAACTCCTCTACAATTTTTTTAATTTTATGCTGCAAGTGATTAGTGGCACTGGCTCCTCATGTAAAATTGTCAGTTCAAACTAGTTTCATGACTAAATTTTTAATATATAAAGAACATTTTGTGTGTGCAGTGTTGTAGGCCTTTTGCTCTCTTTTGAAAGCATTGTTTTACTTTCCCCTCAACAGATCTGTTTCCATATGGCAAATGTAAGCCCCTTGATCACCAAAAAGACTCCAGAGAGTTCAAAAAGCCTTGGAAAGTGATTCCCATTTTGCTTAATAGGACCTCACCTGCAGATTTTGTTTTATGTGAAATAACCTTGATTTCAGATCAGCCCTCTGGATAGAAGAAGACCTTCAGAAATGCAGCAATGGACACAAATTTCATGATAGAAGGTGATCTACTTATGGGTTTTTCCTTTTCTACAAGGGGAGTTAAAGGACTTTTGGAGATGTAGTAGCCTATCTGCCTTCCAGTTCCAATCAACAATTTAAATACTGCAAACAGAATTAAATGATTGAGAAATTAGTAAGATAATAAAGTTCTCTGTTCTCTCCCAGGCATCTCATTTTACTAGTCTGATTTTTTGGTATGATAACAATCAGAGTTTAGAAGACACTAAGGGCAAAATGGTGAGACAGTTGAGTAGAGGCACTGACCCACAATCAATTATTTTACAGACCTTCATCTGGACTTAAGGATTATGCAAGGATTCCTCTTCACAGCTGCTGTTGGGATACTGTGAGTAGTCACTGTACTGAGCAGAATGGGAAAAGAAAAAAAACTCCAAAAACCTATCCAGATGAAAAGACATGAGGATTCTTTTGGATGAAAAGGCAATCACAAGATTATAATGTGTTTAAGATGTCATGAAGTTGTCTGCACAGGGGTGAAATTTCTAGACCTAGAAAGTGGAGGCAAAAGTTTATTCTCAGTTCATGCTATAAAGAGAGAACACAATTCAGTGATTTTCATGAGGTCCCTAGAAAGAATCTGGTTCAAGTTGATGCTTTATGTCTTAGTGGCAACAAAAGCAATGACCAGCCTACACCAAACACAGATCATCCACATGAGAAAAGTGGAGAGAATATAAACTTTCTTCTCCTTTCTGAAAAAAAAGATGGGTTTTTGTATAAAAAAAAACATTAGTTCTTCTCAAACCAGGAAGCATTCTTGTTGATGCTTTCATCATAAATTGGACAGATTCAAGACAGATGTCCACTTTTTACTAAAGAAATACATGTGGGTAAAAGCCTCAAATAAATATATTCTCCCTTTCTTTTTCAACAGGTTATTTTAAAATCAGCCTCACAGAGTTGCAGAGGACAATGTCAGGTCCTTCAATCTGACATATGGAAAAAGCACTGTCATTTTGATCTTGCTTCAAGCCTTGTTCAGTCTTGATGGCTACAACCATCCCTGCACCCTGCATAGAAGAACCTGAGATTTCTCACAACTGTTCCCA